CACAGTTGTCACTGACGTGGAAAATCTACGCACCAATACCTAATATCATCTCACGAACAAAGAGCAGAAGACTGAATGGTTAATTTCTGAATTTGATTTGCATTGCAGCTGTGCCAGCCAGTCACAGAAGATCCATGCATGAAAATCACTTTTCTTGTGCCACATAACACATGATCTTCTTAATTAGACTCTCGTAACGGGACAAATGCATATTGTTTGCTGCAGATGGATGTTTTGTCTACATGCCCAACCATACTGATGATGTTCATAGAAATGTAAATTGCCTAATTTGAATTTGAGTCAAAAAGAATCGTGATTGTAATGGAATGCAATCAAACATTTATGTTGCCTTGAGCTATGAGCTCTGGGGAAAAAAACAAACAAACAAATGAACAATTCTAAAACAGCCATAATGTACAGCTTCAAAATCACATCTATAGGCCACAAAAGTAAATGATAATAGCATTACATTATATTTGGTTTCTCAACGTAACAGAAATACAAGTGATGGTGATTTATTCTGTATTTGTCATAACTCTGGTATTAATTCAAATCTTTTCTAAATCCCATTTGGCAACTGCTCCACCAGCTTACCACGGTAAAGGGCAAAGGTCCATAGATTTTTAAAAGAGAGGTGGCTATTGTTAATATTTAATGCATCTGGAAACAGTAATTAAGTCTTCCCCACAGGAAATGGAATTTGACAAGCTCTGGAGAGCCAGTGAGTAATTATATTTGTAAAGAGCAGTGATACCAGATACTCCCCCCAGACTAGGAGTCGTTACACGCCATTAAAGGGTCCCGGCAAGCCTGGCCTAATCCACACGAGCGCACACACACCAATCGATGCCCAACAAGACAGCATTTCTATAAACAAATTGTCTCTGGCCAAACTCACATATCCCATCACTCACAAACAGCCAGACGCCCCATCCGCAGGATGCCAACAGCAGGAAAGACTCGCCAGTGATCTGGCATTTGTAATTAAATATTAAACCAGTAATGAGTTCTCAGCCATCTACATGGTGTGGAGTTCACATGCGAAATCTCCAAATAGGGCCCCTGGAGAGACAGAGTCCACACTTAGAAGCAATAATTATCACATCCACAGGACAGGTGGAAACGCTGCAGTGAGATGATAAAACTCCGGCGAGACATATTAAACAGGTTTCGGTAATAAAGACTGTCCAGTGCGGAGATCTCTGTTATTGTGTCGCAAATTTCCAGGCTGTATTCGCACACATCTAGAGTGCTATTTTCATTCTAGAGTGCTATTTTATGTGCTTCTCGAATAAGGCACATCCATGCATATATACATGAATTTTACATCAAACCCATGCAACCTACATACAGTCGTGTTCATGGAGCATACACAAGTCAGAATAGCCATAAGGTAAACGAGGAATCTTTTTCATACCGTATAATTCTCTCCTCATACCTTTAAGCTGCATAATTAAAACATGCTCTTTTTTTGTATTAATATCCTATTATTTATTTATTTTGCTTCCTTGGAATTGTTCACTCTGCTCGGAATTTCAATTATATTTGCAGCAGCTATCACTATGCAAATGAGGGGTGTCCTGTGTTTTAATAAAGGGAAAATGCAAAGTTCACAGTGCTGCCTTCATTCCTGTAGAGATTGTACTATTAGCAAAACATATTTTGTAAAATATATGCCAAATATGACCTGATTGAGGTCAAATCAGGAAGGAACTACTGCGAGTAATTATTATTTTTCACACCAGGGTGAGTGGTATTAAATTTGTATAATATATAGTGCTGTCAAAACGATTAATCGCGATTAATGGCATCCAAAATAAAAGTTTTTGTTTACATAATATATGTGTGTGTGCTGTGTATATTTATTATGTATATATAAATACAAACACATGCATGTATATATTTAAGAAAAATATGTTATGTTTATATATTAAATATATTTATATATAATATAAGAATGTATATATTTATATATTTACAATGTAAATATTTTCAAAATATTGACTGTATGTGTGTGTATTTATATATACATAATAAATATACACAGCACACACACATATATTATGTAAACAAAAACTTTTATTTTGGATGCCATTAATCGCGATTAATCGTTTGACTAATAATATAACAGCATAGATGTTTATTATATTTATATTTAAATTGGATGAATTTATTTAAAGATATACATTTAAAAAAAAACATGCAATAATGATTCTTTGTAATATTTAAATACTTTCCAAATTTAAGCCATATTCTGTAATTTATGAATAAAATATTATAAAAACTAACCTTTTATGTCAATTTAATTCAGCTTCACATATAAATCAAACTAAATAAAAAAATAATGAAATTAATATTCATTAAAAGAATTGTCAGAGCAAAATACATTTACAAGTAAAAACTCAAAGATGCAGTTTAAAGCAGCACTGTTTCCCATCGTCACAAACATGTAACCAATTCTGTTAACATGTAGGTGGGACTTTTCATATCCATTAGCTGCCTGAGGATGGCAGGAACAAGGTTTGTGAAACATTAGCAAAGCATTATAGCTGTTTGATAACCAAAGGCTAATGATATCAATTAAAGTTACTGTACGTGTCTGACATTGTAGGGAACGATACATACAATGCATTACCATTCTGATACAACTTGTAGACGGCCATGTGTAATTCACTCTCCTCTTCTTCTCTGAAAACAGTTTCTCATTCAAACATTTAATCCAGTGAATCCAATAGTGCCACCTGTCTCTCACCCTCCCGGCTATCTGCTATGGTTTCATCTTTGCTTCCTTCCCCTGAACAGTTATCATCTCTTGATGTTAACCGTGCTACTGATACTTTCTGCTCCACTCTTACGTCTTGTTTAGACACTGTCTGCCCCTTGTCTTCCAGGCTAGCTCGTACCACCTCTTCTGCCCCTTGGCTATCTGATGTTCTCCGTGAGCATCGTTCTAAGCTCAGAGCTGCAGAAAGAGTATGGCGCAAATCACAAAATCCTACTGACCTTAATGTATATCGATCACTCCTCTCTTCACTCTCTGCTAATGTCTCCACTGCTAAAAGGACATACTATCAAAACAAAATGAACCATTCGCCTAACTCTCGCATGCTCTTTAAAACATTTTCCTCCCTCCTTTGTCCTCCTCCTCCCCCTCCTTCATCAACTCTAACATCTAACATCTTCAGAAGTGGATATTCGACCGAGACTGCCATGCTTTCATTTGTTGAAGCCCTAAGACTGGCAAGAGCGGCTTCCAAATCTTCTATACTTATTTTGCTGGATCTGTCTGCTGCTTTTGATACGGTGAACCACCAGATTCTCCTGTCAACCCTATTGGAAAATGGCATCTCAGGAACCGCACGCCAGTGGTTTGAGTCTTACATCTCAGATTGGTCCTTCAAGGTATCTTGGAGAGGTGAGGTGTTTGTAAGTCGCTTTGGATAAAAGCATCTGCTAAATGATTAAATGTAAATGTAAATGTAAAGCAAATCACTGATACATATTTATATATTTATAGCATATCATTTATTAACTGAGTTGTGATGATAAATAACCAACCAAAGAAATGTATTCCAAAATGTCAGCAGGAAACTCATATTCTACTCTCATGTTTGCAGTTTCTAAGACTGTACCACTTCTCCTTCATCTGCAGGAGATGAGAATATATTTTTTATAATCTCTTATTGAAAGAGTCAGAGTGTACAACATGCATGTATTTCCACCTCCCCTACAGTGAAACACTAGCACTGGTTGGTTATGTGCTTAAATCTGCACTCAGTATAACATACAATTTTGTGTCACAGAGAAATCTTTTGTAAAATGCTTGATATATATAATTCAGATACTAGAATCTGCTTTGGATGGGGCCTTAAAATGTCCCTTTTCAAGTTTTTCCCCCCTTTCATTTTGACTTGTTTAGGACATATCTCAGTCTACCTAGATGTGCATGTATATCTACATATTTCTACTGTTATAAACCATCACACAATTTTAACTCACAGTATTCAAGTGTAGCGTCTGCGTAGGATCATGCATGAGCGTTGGACTGTTTATGGCTTAAAAGACCCCTTTTAGCCTTTTGACATTTGCATATAAATTACAGTTCTGGTCAGAGATGTTACGTTGTATAGGGGTTTTAAATTGCCAGATGGTTCTTCACCGACAAGAAGATTCGAACCAGCCCCCACTATCATCCTTCTCAATCTGACTTCAAACACTGTTTAAAGAGCTGTAAATTACCTCGATGGGCCGGGCAGGCCAAGCAAACTAACGCACACACACACAATATTCCCCTTTTTAGAGCTAATAAATAATAATAAACGTTACACAAGATATCCCTACAGTTGTAGATCAGTCCTTAACAGATGTGGGCCTGTAGGTTCAAACCCAGCAAGGAGTCACGCATGAGCTCTTGATTAAGACATATGATTTCACGTTACTGCAAAATGTTTGGTGCTATAACACATGCATACATAATAAAGCGTCTACTGAATAAGCACTTACCTAAAGCTCCTTAGTAAAACAAACACTTTTCTTTTTGGTATATGGGACATATTTGGATTCAGAATTCATCTATCAGCTTAATAAACTTACTCTGAAATTAAATGTTTTGTTCTTATGTTTCAAATTAATGCATAACTGGATGACTGAACATTTTTCTGGACAGCTTTTAAGAAGTACTCAACACTGTGCAAGCCGAAAAAGCCAAATAGACTGAACTTTGGCAAGAGTTTATATCTCTGTGAGCATTATTCTTTAATTCAGTCTCTTAAAATGTTTCTGCATTCATGCCTCAATGTTTTACATTTACTGATTCAGCAAAAAGCACTCAACTTATCATTCAAGTAAATGTAAAAATAGTAGTCTTAATACTGAACACTGAACCACAGGCACCATTAGCAAACATTCTTGCAGTAATCATTCTCTAATAAGTTAGTAAGTGCAATTTCTCCAATAGGACTGCTCCTGGAAAACGTTATATAACAAGGAAAGGTGCTTACCTAGGACGCCGACTCGAAAGTTGAGCGTGATAACGATGACGTTCCCGTAACTGGCCAGCACGCTTGCGTCAATCATGTTTCCGGTGCCCTCCATGTACGATCCTCCATGGATGTACACCATCACAGGCTTGGCTCCAGTGTCTCGTATGTCTGCAAGAGTGGCCACCATTAAACTCTCACTCCCCCACTGCCCCGTCAGAGCAAGATTCAACACAGCAGTGCGTCTCACAGTCCTCCCAGATACCAGCCACCAGCTCAATTACAGTTTGAGATGCATCTTATATCAGCAGAGTCATTTGTCTCTCATAATGAACAGTATGCGCAAAACAGATATGAACAGATGAAGCCATATGGAAGGTCAGAACCTAACTGGCTATTGCAGGCAGCTCTAACATGCTTTAGTGGCCTAAATGATGAGATCATCTCAAATTTAACGGCCTTGTTAGACTTCGCTGCTCCGGCATACAGCCACAGAAGGGTTTAAAACGAGCAGCAATTGGGCGGGCCAAAATTACTTATCTAATAGGGGAGCACGCTAAAAGAATCGTTCTGCCAAAAATGAAAATGACCTTCATATTGTTCTGACCCCATATTATTGTTTTGTATATGTGAAAGGAAAAATCATCATAGGCAAAAGTGAATAGTGCTTTATACTGGCAAACTCCAAAAAGGATAAAAAACACCAAAAAAGCAGTCCATTGAAATATTCCACGTTCTGAAGTCAAAACCAAATGAATGCCATTATTCTCTAAAAATTCTTCAGTTGAAAAATTGGGCGGGAGGTCACAGCAGGTTTGACATTACTGTTGCCAAATGCTGTTGATTCTAATAAAGTGTAACCTCACATCATGTAGAATTCAGAAACACTTGTTATTGGCAACACCGACTTATTTGCTCGTGCTCGCACTCATGCGCACGGAACGTACTAGGCATTGAACGTGATTCAGTGCCTTGATATACTCACAGCAAATTTATTTTTCATTCTTTGCTTAGAAGTAAAAAAGAAGTTGAACATACATTTGCAATAGGGAAGTCATGGCCTAATGGTTAGAGAGTCGGACTCGTAACCCAAAGGTTGCGGGTTCGAGTCTCGTACCGGCAGGGATTGTAGGTGGGGGGAGTGAATGTACAGCGCTCTCTCCCACCTTCAATACCACGACTGAGGTGCCCTTGAGCAAGGCACCGAACCCCCAACTGCTCCCCGGGCGCCGCAGCATAAGTGGCTGCCCACTGCTCCGGGTGTGTGTTCACGGTGTGTGTGTGATCACTGCTGTGTGTGTGCACTTAGGATGGGTTAAATGCAGAGCACTATTTCCAAGTATGGCCACATGTCACATCACTCACTTTAGCAATGATACCACTGTTAACGGATATTTCCCACGCGGCTGATAGCCATGTTTATATGAATATGTAAATATGTGCTGCACGCTTTCCTTCCAATAACAAAATAAACAGCAAAAATAACAAGTGAGAAAACAGCAGTTAAGAAAGCATCTGATCATAGCGATATAATCTTTAAGACTGCACCAGCTATGCGTTTCACAGGCATCATGTAGACAGATTAGGTAATTAAAATGACGCTGTTGTGAGAGTTTGGTAATAAAGTATATCTGAGACTATATACAGTATATCTGGTTATGTGAGAATATAGTTTGAATGAATCCATTTTCTTTGTTTTAAACATGGACATTTAAGTACAGAATAGCTCTTTCGGAACATTGTATAAGCATTTGTTATGGAAGAGAGGGTCTCGGGAGCATGCATAAACGTCACAATTTCCCTGCAAAAAAATTTGCTTTTCGTAAATATCAGTCTACAGGCAACCTAGAAAGGTGGGGAAGGTCTTGTTTTTCAAAGCTTCCCTACAAGCTGTTCACACATTGGCAATACAAAAGGTGATTAATACATGACAATCCTTACATACAGCCCATTTAAATCTTAAAACAAAATTCTTAAGAATGACTTAAAAAATGATATTATAAGAAATAGTGCACACATTGTATGGACTCATTTTTGGAGCTTGTCAGTAGGCTATACCACCATTCAGTTTCATAAAATGGAAAACAGAAGCTTGAACATTCTATACAAGATCTCATTTAGTGTTTCCTTGAAGAAAAACTAGTACAGGTTTATTAAAAGAAGATTTGTATTTTTGGCCAAACCATTCCTTTAAAATGCATCACCATATGTTCCTTATTTCGTTAAATGCTTTTGTATAGAAATTAATCAATCGACCATTATCAGTGTGTTCTTTTCTGCTAATCACATAACATAAAACAGAAAAAGAACACAAGCTGTGAAAACTGTCTACTGAGATGAAAGAGACAGAAGCCTTGGGAAGCGAGCACTGCTGGGCTAAGACTCGATATGCTGTATTGTATTGAGGGTTGCCATGGATACGGCAGATCAAAATTCAGAATCTTTGAGAATGGCTAATCGCAAACACCACTCCAGTGCATTTGCCCCCGTTTGCATTCAAGCCCTCCTATTAAAGATGCGCCTATTTGCATGTATGCGGTCACAGCAAATTACCGGCTGGCTTTTTCTTGCAAAAAAAGCATGTTATTTGCAATCACTGTGCCACTGTCTGAGCTTAATGTCTGCTTTACATGGCAAGAACGCATTCACACGTTACGCTCCTGATCTCGTGGAACAAGCGAGAATTGATTTGTATAGATTTTTTCCATTTCAGATCCGGCAGCTGAAACATTTACGGTTACGTTTAAAGATTTATCTGGTATCTGAGAGAAGTATGATAAGGCACTGCTTTGAAATGACAATTCTCTGTTGACACTTATCGTACGGAAGAAAGACAATGTATGGAGTGAGAAAAAAGAAGGTAAGAGAGAAAAAATGCACAAGATTCCCTGCACAAGGGATGCACAGGATGAGATACCGAATGAAAAAGATCAATTAGAAAAACAGTACAAAGATTAGTCATGTCAATGTTATCAGTAACCTCTTTTGTCGATTCACATCATGTTGGTTTGTTGTGACATAAAAGTATAATACTCTGCTAACTGATCTCTTCTCTATCAAATAATCATATATAACGTCAACATCAAAATCAAGTTATCCCATTGAAGACACATTAAAAAAGATTCAGAATTCACATCCTGAGGAAAAAGAAGAGACATATTGATTAAAATGCATTGCAAAGACACTTGCATTTCAGGACATAAATTACCTTGAACAGAAGGGGTGAAACTATAGAACATTAACTAAAATGTCAGCTTCATGAATGTACAGATATGTTCTTTGACATGAAAACATGACTCATTCGTTATGACACACACACACACACACACACACACACACACACACACACACACACACACACACACACACACACAAAGAAATACG